AAGGGTCCTAGAAAGGGCTTGCATAGCGTTCTCGGGTTTGGGGCTTTATTGTTTAAGGGTGAAGGGCTTAGGGTGTTAGGGTTTAGGGTTTGGGGTTTGTGGTGTAGGCTGGTTTTGGGTTTGAGGCTTGGGGAATTCTGGCCACCGGAAGCATACAGCCAACCTGAGCCGGATGTAAAGCCTGCGGCTGGGAGCTCATGGGGGGGGCTTCCGAAAATAGGGGACCCTAACATGGTACCTAAATAGTAGGATCCTTGTTATAAGGACCCCAAAATAAGGTACCCCTTTGTTCAGAATCTCCCACGTCTCGTCCCACTAACACATGCAATTACGTGGACAGCACTCCACTTGCACGGCAGGCACGTACAACCCCAAACCCTAAAGTGTCGAGGCGTTCAAAAGGACGGAAAAATGCTCGTCGCTGCCTTTGCACGGACCTGCCGGTGCAATCCCAAAGGGTACTGTCATGGGGGATACTTTCCCATATCATACTAAGGAGTCCTCATTTTCAAACCCTACATTAATTCTACTATGTAGGTACTTCGGACCCTGTGGGAATGATATTTATTCATGCAGTCGCTCTACATGCAAACCTACGCAAAGGCACAGGCAACCCTCCAATCAAAAACTGGCATCTTAAACCCTATGAACACCGAACAACACCGTATCTACGCGCTAAACATCAAAGCCAGAGGTCTGTTCGGCTGATGCTGCATCTGACACACACGGCTTAAGTTTATGCGGGTGTTTGTGCATAAGAGAGCCCATAACCTTACCGCACGATGTTGCAGTTTACTCCAGCCCAATCAAAACCTTATAGCCCGGCCCTGAACCCTGAACTCTATAAGTAGCGGACCCTAAACCACACACCATGCCTTCGTGGCTCCTCATAGCGGCGCCGGCCATCGTCCTGTAATCGGGCGCAGCTGGCGGTCACGGGATTTCGTCATTTGTGGACTCCTGTTTGAATAAAGGCCGCTTCTTTTCAGGCACAAATGTGGGGCTCCCTAAATCAAGGGAGAAGGATGTATAGATCAGAGGTCTAACGGTTTAGGGTTTAGGGTTTAGGGTTGACCCCGAAGACTTGATCACAAAGTTACCAGTCCCGCAAGAGCCTCGTCAAAAACACAGGCACTTTGAGGAATTAGACTGGGGTCTCGGCACAGGTTCTAGTGTAGCCATTAACGCGATAAAAAAGCGAATCATATCATTAACTATTCAAGATTCTGTGTTAATGTAGGGCCTGAATAGGGATCTGAGGGTATATCATACTATAAAAATTATAATAGTAGCAGTACAAATAAGAATAAGGAACCCCCAAAGGCTATAGGTAAGTATTAAGGTCCCTATGTTAGCCAACTACTGCCCCTGCAACCTCTGTCTTTGCAAGGACCCCCATGGCTCGGAGCCTCTTCCTCCGAGGCTTAGGGCTGCAGGGCTTTTGGGCGATATGGGAACCGGATTAAGGAACCTGGGTCCTGTTGTTGATGATATAAATCCTGCATGGCTTTAAGGATCATAAACACTTATTATGGGCAAGGCAGGATTTATATCATCAGCCGTATAACCCCAATGTATTGGGATCTATGTAGAGAGCCCTAATAAAGACGCAGGGCTTCTAAATCGGGTTCATGCATTATGGGGTTTTGCGGTTCAAGGGTTATGTAAGGGTGTTGTGGGTTGGGGATTAAGGATTCCCGTTGTGGGGTTCAGTTGTTTCGGTTGAACTCTTCTGCATCTAACAGGGGCTGGCGATTCAGAACTGAGGAGACTGATACCAAAGTATTTGGGGGTTTCCGAAAATAGGGGACCCTAATATAGCACCCTAAATAGTAGGATCCTTATTATAAGGACCCCAAAATAGGGTACCCTAATTTTCGGAAATTCCCATTTTTCTCCATGACACCGAAGGCAGCTCCTAAAGTCCTAAACCCCACAACAGCGGTTGTTCGTCGCCTCCATCACCTAGATCTGCACCACTGCCATCGTTCCATGCGCCGCCGTGGCCGCAAACATGTCAAACCCAAAGCTCCTAGACCAGAAGCCTTACATCCTAAAACCCTAAACCCTAAACCTCTCGACCGGAACCACCCGGTGCAGACTCCATGCCATTCAGTGAGAGTTAAAACCGGAACCTTTACACCTGGAAACCAAATCCCAAGCTTCATACACGGTTTAGGGTTTAGGGTTTAGGAAACCAAATCCCAAGCTTCATACACTAAACCCTGCTACCCAACCCGAAAGCCCCTGATCTGTGACCTGTTATTTCGTTCTGCTGCTTGAGGGAACTCCAACACGCTGGTTGTAGTAAGGTCGACATACGTACATATATGTAGTGGTGGCCACATATATACGGATGCACATTACACCTATTATAGTACAGGCATTCACATCTTCTTATCAACCAACAAGCCAGCAAACACATTTGTATACGTATATACATATATATATATATACAGATGTATGTGTATATATATTTAGACTGTATATTTGCATAACGTGTATCTGTATGGTTCAGCCTGGCTCGAGGAGTAGGGCACCTCCACTCGCCAGCCTTTAGATCAAGGCTCCCATCTTCTGGGAAACTCCCAGATCGTTCGAAGCCTCTTGAGCCGCAGGCCATGTGCAGAAGTACCATACAAAGGCCTAAATAAGAAGAACAGAATAGGGATCGGGGCATATGATGGAAACACATATGATAAGGATCCCAGAAGTTATGCCGACCTCCGCAATGGGATTCCGTTTCAACTTCTTCAAAGCGGTGTGCTTTAGTTTCCAGCCATGAGCAACCATAAACTCTACAGCCTATAGTAAGCTAAAATCTTAAATCCCAAACCCTAAACCTAAGCTAAAACCCTAAACCCTAAACTCTAAACCCGAACCCTAAACCCCTAAACCCCTAAACCCTAAACCCCAAACCCTAGATCCCAACCCCCCTTCAAACCGAGGGCCAGAGACCCTAAGCGTAACGAGACTCTCCTCTTTCTCTGAGCTTCGTGGACAACACTGATGACAGGAGCTTCATGGTGCCAGGAGGGTTTAGGGATTAAGGTTCGGGCTTTTGCGGAAGGGGCTTAGGATTTATTTTGTACAGGTTATAACTTAACTTACGGCTCGGGGTTTCGGGTTATATGATATCTAGCTTTGCTGCTGTTGAGGATATAAACCGTCCACTACCTTAAGGACCCTAAACTACGTTAATTGTGGTCAATTCCTGATTATGGGTAATGCAGGATTTATACCATCAACCGTATGCTGAGTTTCTTTGCGGGCCAATGCATATACGTAATGAGCCTCACAGGAACACTGCGTGAAGGTTAACGGCGTGGTCTGACGCAAAGTTGGGGTTTCGTGGTTTTCTTGCTTCAGGGAGTCGTTCCTCGACTGAATCTAAAGATTCACGCAATGCTATAATCTGTGTATACTACTCATGTACTCTGAACAGCCCTTCTAGGCTTTCAGGCGCCAAGACCGAGCCATAAACCCTGAGGTAAGCATGAATTGGGCCTGAACTCACAGACATGAAACAACAGCCGTCATTATGGCTTATGGTATGTGCCCGTCGTAAATCCCTAAAGCCCATTGTCAAACCCTCTTTTTGCCTGCAACTTTATGTCGATTGTCGGAGCCCTGCCGGTCAGAGGTTTGACCTCACTCGGCTGCATAGAAGGCTCACATGTTGGCCCCCTCGGGCATGCAATCCACTTGGAAGGACTTGGTGACTTGGGGTTGTCGTTTAAGTTTTGCCTATAGTCTCCATTGTAGTTCCTTTTGGTGGATACTTTACAGAATCCTTAATATATAATTCCAAAAAAAGGAACTACAATGGAGACTACAGGTGTGAGGCTTCACCAACCTTTGGGGTCTCGCTTTGCCTATAGTCTCCATTGTAGTTCCATTTTTTGGTTTAACCAACTCTATATTAAGGATCCTATAAGGTAACCCCAAAAAGGAACTACAATGGAGACTGTAGGTGGGTTCCGAGTTTACAGATGGGACTCTGGCTGAGCGTGTGAGGTGTGGAATCGAGTTGGGGTGCGGGCATCGCGATCAAGCCATGAAGCCTTCACTACCGAGTTTAGGGTTTAGGGTTTAGGGTTTAGGGCTAAGCCACTAAGCTCAGTGCAAAGCGCAAAACAAACCTAAGCCTCTAAACCCTCTGGACCTTGTAGACGAGACATGAAGCCCCTGTAGCCAGCACCGGACCTCCTATCACCTGATAGCACCAACACCCTGCAATGCGAAAGCAACTCGCTGCTAAAAGCCTGCACTCAAACCTGACCCAACAGCCCATAATATATCATTATGTCACCCTAAACCCTAAACCCTAAGCCCCAAGCCCATAAACTAGCATATCCGTATATCAGTAAACCTTCTGGGGTTTCCCGCGCTTAGTTGTCCAGTATCCCTGGAAAGCTGAAGGTTAACCTTTCGGATTATATGGGGATTATGGCTTAGGGTTTAGGGTTATGGGGATTATCATACCCCCCCCCCCAAAAAGGGAAAAGTGTACTAACTCTACTAATAAGTATAAGTACATCGCCTTTTTTAGCCAAAGGTGCAAAGCCCCCTGAAAGCCTCAGGCATAAAAACCTCAGCCCACACACCTCAGAGATTAGGGTTCAGGTTGTTTATTTAGGGGAATGGGCTCTGTCTGATGCTGCCGGATGTAGGGTTGAGGGTACAAAGCCACAAACAAGCGCCTGTAAACACCACTCGCACCACCAAGCCCTGTAACAATTTAACCCGTGCTCTAGTTTAGACGAAAGACTCACGGCGAAGGAACATGTCATTCAAGGACTCTATGCGACGATAGAAAATCCAGGACCCTAAACCTAGAGCTGTAAAGTCTAAAGCCTTCAAGCCCTGAACCCTTGATCCAGAGCCCTAACTAAACCGTTCAACCAGGAATCTTACACCCTGAACCCTAAACCCTAAACCCCCTGAGCCCTAAACCCCAATCCTCTCACTCTTGTTCGGCCCAAAGCCTCGCGCCAGGATCAGCTGGAAGGCGCAGCCACCGCGTAGGGCTGGAGATCGGGGATTGAGATTTTATAGCGGTGTTATCAGGGTTTAGGCTTTAGATTTAAAGTTTCGGCAGTTTGGGGTTTAGGATTCAGATTTCAGATTTGAGGTTTAGGCAGTTTGGGTTTAGGATTTAAGGTCTAGGCTTTAGGGTTTTGGGTTGAGGGCTTCAGAATGAAAATTTATAGGGCTTCTGAGAAAAGTATCAAAGGGTCCAAACCGGTTCTCCATTTCTATTAGGGATTCATAAGGATTGATACTGTAACAAGTGCTCCGCAAAACAAGGCGGGTCTAGTCTATGAAGCTTCTATAACAACAGTTCCGTGGACACGTGTTCTGAAAGTGTTTCGTCAGGGATCCTTGGGGATTTAAGGCTTCTAAGATTACGCTGTCTGGGATTGATTGGCCTGAGATGATGGCATTGCTGTCGTTTCCAAGTCTGATTAGGGGATACTGTAGGGGCCTTAATCATTAGAATGGAGTTTTGGGGCCCCTTATACTATAGTTATAAAAAGGAACCCCCATTTAAGTATTGGTAATTATTTAGGCCCCTAGTATTGGTGATTATTTGAAGGCCCCCAGACTATCTCGGCTGTTCTCCCGCAGAGCCTGCTTTCGGGCTCAAGGTTTAAGGAGTTCGGATTTCGAGTTTGAGCCCTGGCCTCTTGGGGAATCATCATATAGGGTTAGGGTTAAGGGTTGAGGGTTTAGTGGTTTAGGGTTTGGGTTTTGTCTAAACCCTAAACCAACAGCCCAAGAAAGCTAGGCCATATTCTCCAAACAGCGATCAGAAGGCCGCGGGAATTCTGGGTTCTTTTCGGAAACTCACCCGGTTCACTAGAAGGAAGTCGACTTCGGGATGCAGGAAACCAGCCCGAGGGGGTTTAGGGTTTAGGAACTCAGAATACCTATAGTCTCCATTGTAGTTCCTTTTTTGGGTTTAACCAATGAAATTACGGATTTTGTAAGGTATCCCCAAAAAGGAACTACAATGGAGACTATAGACTATAGGTATCTTGTGAAACTCAGGACAACCTACGCATCTCAAGTCCGCATTCTTGACTGCTTGGGTTCTTGCACTTCCTGTACCTACACACCAAAGCCCAAGAAGCAGAGCCCATGCTGAACCCTGAATTACGTTCGGGGCCTTGGTTGGGCTTTTTCCTCATATTCCCCTAACCCCCCGGGTACCTACTATATAGGGTACTAAAGCCCCTAGGGCCCTGTACAGTCTGTACTTGGGGGGTTTAGGGATTCATGGCGCCAGACATAGGGCAGTCACGGCTTCGCACATTAACAATTCTGCCGTTTCGGGTCGACATCGAGGTGCCCCATCTTCCGAAACCGGGGTGCTTGTGAGACTGTTCCTGACAAGTTTAGGGTTTAGGGTTGAGGGTTTAGGGTTGAGCCTGCCCGTCGGCAGGCATCCAATAGTGGTCGAAGGTGATCTGCACAGGCAGGGCGCATTGGATTCTTCAAGCTTCGGTTGAGGGAAGCACCACCGACAACAACCAGACCACCATGAACCGGCTGAACAGGCAGAAGCCACTGCAGAACAATGGGTAGCAACTTCCGAACCGATGGCCATGAATGTAGACCCTAAACCCCTAAACTGGGACCTTTTATCCCTATGGCCGATGGCCATGAATGTAGACCCTAAGCCCTAAACTGAGACCTTTTACCCCTGTGGGCAATGCTACTCTGCGTGCTTGGGCCTGTTTTGAAACCTGGCCCCTGTCGTCTTTTCGAGGTCCTCGATGCAATCTGGTGCAAACAACCAGGAACTCAAGGGTTTAGGCTTGAGGGTTTGGGTTTAGGGTCTAGATAAATCAGCCTTGACGTTAAAGCAAGCTAGAGCAGTCCAAGGCAGTCTTGGCCTACCTTAACCTACTACTGGCAGGGTCCCTCCGACATCTCTGTTTGGTGTGACAGCAGGACCTAAATCAAGCAGGTTGAAGTTTTTGAAGGCAGGCCATGTCCAACTCCAACCCCACATCTAAGGTTGAACCCATGGGCCCCTTGTATGGGCCCTTAACCCTGGGATCCTCATATACCTACTTTATACCCTATATGTACCCTTAAGGGTCCCTAGAAAGGCCTAAGGGTCCACATTAAGGGCCCATACTTCTTGTAACACTAGACTCACTAGACCCTGACTGCGCATGAACCTAGTACTACGCAGGCCTGAACATATTGAATGAGGGCTTGGGGGTAATTACGCTATACAGTAAAGACAAGCTGTTCAGGTTGCTTTAGCATTCAGGCTTCAAGATTTCGTGCTCAGGTAACTGGATGCCATGGGGCTATAGGCATGGTGTCAACAATCCTTCCTAAAGCCGAGACATCAGAGGGCTTTCTATCGAACCGTGTGTTGCCCTAAACCCTAAACCCATAAACCCCGTTGAGTGCAAGGTGAAGGCGCTGGAATGTCCTGATCAACGAGACTTTCGGCACTGGCCAGGAGTTTGCTTTGGAGGTTCATGGGTAGTTATAAGTAGGGTAACTAAAAAAAACCTACTTAGGAGACTTATAACCCCCCTTTTAACTACCCGTGTGAACGGGTACTAGAGGTTCTAGGGCCCTCTATAGTAGGTACCTGGGGGGGTTAGGGGAAGTTAAGACAGGCACAGACACAGATCATGCGGGAGCCTCGACCGGCAGTTCGCAGTGCTGCTTTAGCGCAGCCCTTCTACAGCTAGCATATGCGTTCAATTAACTTACAGCCTTTGTCCTTGTGTATGGCCTCTAAATATAAACCAAAAACCGCAAAAACGCTGACACCCTGAACCCTAAAAAGACAATAACACCCTCATCCGCTGTAGATTCTTCATAGAAACCCTGCAGAGACGTTCGTTGCTAACCCTGAAGCCCCTAATCGGACAAACGTGTAGCCTTACCTGTAACCGAAAAGACCTCCCTTTTTAAGGGACTATATATAGAAACCATAATAATAATAATGATAATAATAATAATAAACCTTAAAAAAGGTAGGTCTTCCCGGCTACAGGTACGCACTACACCCACCCCAAAACCCCTTAATCGACCGATCCGGGGCCTCGTTTGGCAGCAACTCTTTCACCAAGAAGCCCTGGGGCTCAGAGGATGGGGTCCGGGACTTCAGGGATAGCTAACCCAAGGGGTTAAGGTTTAGGGTTTAGGGTTTAGGGGCCTCTGATGTACTGTTATGGGGGGATACTTCCCTAAATCATAATAGTAATTCTTGATATAGAAACCCTACCTTCTAGTATATAGGTACATAGGACCCTTTGGGTAATTCAAGGCGTCTACAAAATTGCGGGCTTAAGGGCTTTAGGTTCACGGTTTGGGATGGCAGCGTCTAGGGCGGCAGGGTTGAGAGTTTAGGAGTTAGGGTTTTGGGTGTATTCGTGTCTGGGGTTTTACGGGGCGTAGGGCTGGCAGGGAGGTTGTTGTTGGTGGTGGTGGATGGCACGGGTGCTCTCTGCCGCACAGCATGTTCCCTGGCTCCATGGCTGGCAGGGAGGCTGTTGGAGGCCCTTGAAACATTTCAACATTTGTTCTTTCCTATCAAAGTTCTATAACAAAAATACTCTGCTCCCGATCCTCCCTCCCTCCCAGAGACCCGTAAGCCTTTCACCACGGCCTCCGTGCTCGAAACACTGTATTTCAATGCATGATGCTTCGTGAGAGGATTCCCATGTCTCTGCAATGGGACGCAATACTTAGGAGAGGGTTTGGGGCCTGGGGGATTTGGATACTTGGACCCTCTGGGTATCCCTAAACCCTTAAACCCCTAAACCCTAAACCCTTAAAGTAACCCTGAACACCAAGACGAAGGGTTTGGGCTCAAGGGTTCGGCGAGGGGCCAACTTTCAAGGCTTCACAAACGGTTTAGGGTTTTGGGGTTTTGGGATTCGGGGGTGTTGGGTTTAGGATTTGGGGGTTTAGGGTTTTTCGTCCAGGGTCCGAAGCTGGAGCTTTCTGCCAGCGACCCACCAAAAACCCCAACTCCAAACACTAGACCCAATAATTCCCCAAACAGCTTTAGCTAAGGGGTTCTAGATTTGTTTAATAGAAAATGATTCTGTAATTCTCATTTGGATTTCTCACGGCACTACTCTAAAAACCGCTACTTATTTGTCTCCCACTTGTCTCCCAT